GTGACAATCAGTCGTAGCGATAGAGAAGATTCAGGAGTTTATAAATGTCTAGCTGAAAACGCATTTGGTCGAGCTGAGCATACTATTAATTTAGCAGTTCAGGAAAAACCAGATCCTCCAGGTCATGTGGAAGTTGTAGAAGTTGGTAGTAGGAGTGTAAGGTTAGCATGGCGACGACCCTTTGACGGAAACAGTCCGGTTATTGGATATTTAGTCCAACATCAACAGATAGGAGTGGGTCAAACTCGTTGGGAAGCCGGAGGAGAACAGAATATTACCCTCCCTGCAAATTCCCTAGAGGTAGAATCTGAAAGTGCCATCATCGGTGGTTTATACCCAGCAACAGCTTACAAAATCCGCATGCTGGCAGTAAACGGAATCGACCAGAGTAACTTCGCAGATGAAGTAGTAGTGAAGACCCAAGAAGAAGAACCGTCGGAACCACCTTCAGACGTGAGAGTAGAATCTGTAGGTTCGGATGAAATTTCACTCTCATGGCAAGTCCCACCAAGAGAATCATGGAACGGTGAGTTATTAGGGTATATAGTTTCATGGAACCCGCAAGGTCAACCTCCGAATGGAACCAAAACAACTACAGTCAAAGGATGGGCCACTACCAAAGGACAGATAACTGCTTTGAAGAAATATACCAGATATGATATCACTGTGAGAGCATTCAATAGTATATCAGTAGGACCTGAGTCTGGAACTATAGTGGGTACTACCAAAGAAGGTGTTCCTGAAGCTTCCCCAAGGGAGATAGAATGTTCCCAGATATCTTCGCAGAGTATGAAATTATCATGGTCACCACCATCAGCTTCTCAACATGGGGGGTTCATACAAGGATACAAGATATACTACAGACCTATAGTAACTGATGTAAATGGTAAGTCAAAAATTATCTAAAACTTCTCTAAACTTATCTAAAATGTCTCTAGTGGATATCCCTGCTTCCGGTGAAATAAAACGCACGCCTAGCACAGAGACATACCTCCATGGTCTGTATAAATACACAAATTACTCCATAAAAGTCTTAGCTTACACGGGAGCAGGAGATGGAGTCCTAAGCACTCCAATATACTGCACAACAGAGGAAGACCTACCAGGACCACCTGCAAATATCCGCGCAGCAGCCCTCACATCAGAATCTATACTAGTCTCATGGTTACCACCAGTCAAACCCAACGGTCGTATCATTCTCTATACAGTATACTACAGAGATGCTGGTAGGGTTGGTAAACACTCTAGTTATACAGTGCGTACAGAAGACACACCACAGAATGCTAATGGTCTGGTATACGAAGTGAGACATCTAGTAGAACATCAATCTTATGAGTTTTGGGTTTCCGCAACCACCAGTGTCGGGGAAGGAGAACCTACTTCGATAGCTACGCAGATTACTAATAGTAAAGCACCTTCAAGGATTGCTTCCTTCAGTCAGGTGTTATACAGGGCTGTGAAGTCAAAAGTTTTATTGCCATGTCTTGCGGTTGGGAATCCTACACCTAGGACCAGGTGGATCCATCGTGATAGACCAGTTACTTTTAGTCCTTTTTACAAGGTCACATCGGAAGGACATTTGAGTATTCATAGTAAGTATTCAGAAAGAATTAAACTGGGATTAAATTTTGATATTTTGGGGATTTTTTTCCTCAGGTGCGGATCAATCCCTAGCTGGGAATTACACCTGCTCCGCCAAGAATCTTTTCGGAGAAGATAACATAACCTATTCCTTGTTTGTGATCATGTCACCCAGTGCTCCAACCCTCGAGGTCCAATTCTCTACTGCCAAAAGCATTCGCCTAAGATGGACGCAACCCGAAAACGGCGGAGCTGTTATACAAGGTAATAA